GAAGTGGGCTTACAGAATGGAGAAATCCGAACTATCCGTCAGGTGACTGATAAAGATGCTGTGAAACAAAGACTGACTGTTATAGTGGAGGACAACGGGCAGCCGTCTCGTTCAGCTACAGTCATTGTTAACGTGGCGGTGGCGGACAGTTTCCCAGAAGTGCTTGTGGACTTCGCTGACTCTATACAAGACAAGGAGTACAATGACACGCTGACTTTTTACTTAGTGTTGGCTCTGGCTGTGGTGTCCTTCCTCTTCRTCACCTGTTTAGTGGTTATTATCTCAGTCAAAATCTACAGATGGAGACAGTCTCGCATCCTGTTTCACTCCAACCTCCCTGTCATTCCATATTATCCACCACGTTACTCAGACACTTTGGGGACAGGGACTCTCCAACATGTGTACAATTATGAGGTGTGCAGGACGACTGACTCCAGAAAGAGTGACTGTAAGTTCGGGGGAGCTGCGAGTCAGAACGTGTTGATAATGGATCCCAGTTCTACAGGAACCATGCAGAGGATCCAGRGTGACAAGAACCTCCTGGATCAACCTGACTCTCCTATAGAGGTTAGACATTTATATCCATTTATTCACCTGTATGTACAGTTTTAGACTTAATAGAGAGTTGGAATTCTCAAGCTTTTATTTGTTTATATTTTAGAAGATCTGGCAGATCTTATGATGCGTGTTTCATCAGATTCAGCACCATGGATAGAGTAGATGGAGATTTTTTGTTTTCTTTCCTATTTGTCCTCCTCACTTTTTTTTATTTTAACATTTTTTCATATATATTTCTTTGTTTAATTATTGTTTACCCGTAGATGGTTTGTTTTTTTAATTATGCAAACTTCTTAACATTTGCATGTACTTTTAGCGAGTAACTGATTAACAGTCAGTCTCTGGTGAAGAAATGTTCCACCTCATCTTCTTAACAGCCTTTTTTTTGTGTTTGGTTGCGTGAAGCTCCTCTCTATATTTCCTCTCGAGTTGCTATGTTTGTGCAGGATGCATTTCCATCACAGTGCCACTTACAGACAAACAACCAATCACATGTTCAGTCACACCTGGACTCAATTCAGAGTTACCAGTAAGCCTGCGATGCATGTTTTTGGTCTAATGGAGACAGCGGTGCATCAAAAGGAAACTCACATGTGCACGCAGAGAACATGCAAAGTCCTGTAAGGCCAGYGGCCAGGAGGCGGTCTACGGGTTTCTTGCTGAGGGACCACTGCTCTCACCACTGCACCGCCATGCCGTCCATCTTTTTAAGGCATTATCTAACATAAAAATCTAAGCTAAAATAACAGTGACAAGGTGACAACAACAAATTGAAAATGAAAYGCATATTTTTCTCAAATAAGACAGTAAGAATAAAAGTATAAAATAGCATATATTAGTTACTGAACTTTGTCTCCTTTCAGCCATAATTGAACTAAATATTATTAAAAATAAATAAATAAAATGTTTTTATGGTGAAAAAATTTTCAAAATGGGAAGACATTAAAAATAGTGTGTAAATCATGTTTTATATATCGTTAAAATTGCTCTTCTGTTTTGAAGTGACTGTAAAATTAATGTGTATTTTTATTGTATATTTTTATATGTTTTCTAAATCGTGCTTTGCTATTTTTTGCATTTAATTTACATTTTGCATTCTGGATTTTAGAGTGCTGTTTGTTTAAACGACTCACAACTTTCCTAAATCCAGCCTTAGTTTTTATTTATTTATTTTTGTTAAAGTGGTAGATATTTTTACAGCAGTTTGTGTGTTTTTTAGATGTACAATTCTTGTAGTTTTACTGATCCAACTCAACGGGACGCTGTTGGTCAATATTTTGCTGTTATTTAAAGCATATAAAGCAGACCCTCTTTTGACATGTTGTTGTTGTTTTAGAGAAAGAGAAAGGATCGGTGCTGCGCCGGGACATTCGGTGCCGTTTGTCTTTTAATATCATCTACCCTGCTTCTGGATTTAAAGGATTTTTATTCATTTTCTTCTTTTTTTTTCAACGAGGATTTCATTGTTTATTTTGATAAAACCGACATCAGATCATTTTCTTTAGCGGATTTYACACCCAGGATAGAACAATGGCACGGCAAGTCCTGCTGCTCGTCCTGCTCTCTGTCGCTTCAGCTGTCGGTCAGATCAGCTACTCTGTTCCTGAGGAAATGACAAAGGGATCCGTGGTGGGAAACATAGCACGGGATTTAGGATTAGATGTGAAACGACTRAAGTCGGGCAAAGCTCGCATCTTCACGAGCGACAGTGCGGAATACATCGAGCTGAGCAGAGAAARAGGCGTGCTCCTGGTGAAAGAGAGGATAGACAGAGAGGCGCTCTGCAGGCAGACGACGCCTTGTGCTTTACATCTGCAGGTTATTCTGGAAAACCCGATGGAGCTTTTTCGAATAACAATCGAGATCACAGACATAAACGACAACAGCCCCAGTTTTAAGAACGAGGATAAACGTTTTGAAATCAGCGAATCTGCGATTATAGGCTCCAAATTTGTGTTAGAGAGAGCGGTGGATTTAGACATCGGGACAAACGGGGTGAAAAATTACAGCTTGAAACCTACAGATAATTTTGTGCTTAAAATAGAAAGTCAGGCGGATGGAAACAAGAAAGTAGAGATGGTTTTACATAAACCATTAGATAGAGAGAAAGACGAACATATAACATTATTGTTAAAGGCTGTCGATGGAGGAGAACCTCAAATGTCTGGTACGATGAAGATTTACGTGACTGTACTGGATGTAAATGACAATGCTCCTGTTTTTACGCAGACAGTTTATAAGGCGGTCATTGAGGAACATTCTGAGAGAGGAACTAAACTGGCAAAAGTGAGTGCTACTGATGCAGATAAAGGAATAAACAGTGATGTTTCTTATGCAGTGTCTTCTACAATGGATGGAGTTTCAGATATTTTCGCAGTAAATAAAAAAGGTGAAGTTGTTTTAGTTCATGATGTTGATTTTGAAAGAGCAAAATCTTATCAAATAGACATTGAAGCGAAAGACAATGGTGGTCTTTCTGACTCCAGTAAGATTATAGTTGATGTTATTGACATAAATGATAATAAGCCTGTAATTAATATATTGTCAAAATCAGATTATATCCCTGAAAATTCTCCCTATAATACAGTTATAGTTATGTTCAGTGTCGTTGATCTAGATTCTGGTAATAATGGACGTGTGAATTGCAAAATTAGTGAAAACATTCCATTTGTCATAAAAATATCTTCAAATGATTTTTACACCCTCATGACAGACAGTGAGTTGGACAGAGAGAGAGCCTCTGAGTATAATATCACAGTGAGCTGCTCTGATGAAGGAGTGCCCTCCCTCTCCAGCAGCGTCACTCTCACCTTACACATCTCTGATGTGAATGACAACCCGCCTGTCTTTGACAGCAGCTCATATGAGGCCTACATTGTAGAAAACAACACACCAGGTCTCTCTA